ACAGCGCCAGCCCCGATAGATTTTTCTTGAAAAGCAATCATTTTGAGAAATAAGGCTCAGTTCCTTGCACCCAATTGATCATTAAGGTTAAAACAAACCCAGAAAATTTTAGTTTAAAGCTTTTGTCATTCTGAAAACCTCTAGGGAACTGAGATGCTCTTGAAAAGACCAAAGCACTCAGGCTTTCTAGTCCTGGATAGCAAAACAGAGGATGCTAGTCTGGGTTTTAGACGTTTACATTTTTTTTCTTCATTTGTAAAGAATATCAGATATAATACAAAAGAATGGATGTAAGCTATGAGGGGACAAACCTGGGTTTGAATCCTGACTTCTTTACATTGAGAAATTAGCAAATTATAAACTTCCCACACCTCAGTTTCTTGAAATGTAAAATCTTCTTCAAAGTGTTTTAAGGATTATTCATGAGATAATCCACGTAGAACATTTAGCATGAGTTCACAGAGGCACAAGTTACCTGAATAGGAGGAAATAAAAGAGTAACAATGAAGCCTCTTTTATCTACTGTAAGCTTTGTCTGCAGAGAACGGAAAAGAAATGTGTGGCCTGTTGGTGAATTTATTACTGTGTGCAAGTAATGGATTTTCCTAAAGCTGTTTCCCTCTGATCATTAATAATCCCTGTGCAGTAAAGGGCTATTGTTCTTCAGTATGAGTAAATAACCCTGTTGGAGACACCGCTTATCTTCAGAGCACAGCTCATACTTCTTACTGGAAATATAATGCAGGTGCCAACACCAAAGGCATGATCAGGCTTCCCATCTTATTTTTCTTCCTTTATGTCTTACACCTTGTTTACCCTTCTAGATCTGTTATTGTCCCTACCTTTTGGCATGCACCATACCCTATACAATATCATCCTACTGGGCCGAATAACCTTCAAGAGAATCTGTGCCCCCTCATATCCCTAGAATCCAAAAAGGGAAGTGTAAGGCTACACGCTGTTTCGCAAACCTCACGATATGCTTATGTGGTGTACTGAATCATACCACAGCTATTCTCTGAAGCTGCATCTTTTTACACAGAAAGTGATAAGAATGTGGTATGGCAGAGATAGAGTACAGGAAGAAGGTAGATCACATTTTTATTTTATTTAAGGAAAAAAATTAGGTTAGATCTTATAATTTGGAAAGTTTTCAAAAACAAAGGGCAAAAACAACTATCAGGGAGTAGGCATTGTGGCACAGTTGGGTTAAACCGTCACTTGGGACACTGCATCCTGTATCAGAGCGTCCCAGCTATGGCTAACTCAGCTTCCAATGCAGCTCCCTGCTAATGTACCTGGGAAGGCAACAGATGATGACGCAAGTATTTGGGTTCCTGTCACTCGCGTAGGAGACCTGGACAGAGTTCCTGACTCCTGGCTCCAGCCTAGCCCAGCCCCAACTGTTGCATGCATTTGGTGAGTGAATCAGCATGGCCCAGCCCTGGCTGTTGCATGTGCTGGGGGAGTGAATCAGCAGATGGAATCAATCTGTCTCTCCCCTTCTCTTTCATTCTGCCTTTCAAATAAATAAATAAGCTTGTGTAAAAACAGATTTAAAAGAGAAGTATTAAAAAAAATGAAAACAAGTTTCAGTGTCTGAAAGACTTCTAAAATAACTATCCCAAACAAGATCAGAGGAGGCAGACTTACCCATTCTAATGATTCCCACAGATGTTCTTCAATTTACCATGGAGTTATGTCCCTAAAAATCCATTGCAAGTTGAAAATACTGTAAGCTGAAAATGTACTTAATACAACTACCTTACTGAACATGCAGAACTTAGCTTAGAAGCCCAGTGCAATGCAGTGCAGAGTATTAGCTGTTCACACTCTGTCGCTGCCACTGCCCAGCATCACCAGAGAACGGTATTGCACGTTGCCAACCCAGGAAAAGACCAAAATGAAAGTGTACTTTCCACTGAACGTATAGTGCTTTCTCACCTTTGTAAAGTCAAGAAATCCTAAGTTGAGCCATCTTAAGTTGGGAACTGTATGTATATGATCACAGCACTGGCACACAACACAAGATGATACTTGTATAGGGGAACTACAGTGGGGCTATTATAACCAAGATTAGAAGTTATGAATAGAAATCAAGTAATGGGTCCTTCAATTCAAATGAAACGGAAGTATATGTTTCCTTATCAGCATATTTTAGGAGACAACGACAAGGTAAGGATAAGGATTAGAGGTGGTGAAAACCAGTTACCAGAAGTAGGAGGCAGAGTTAGAGACGGAAGGGGCAGAAAAATAGAAGACAAACGCTAAAGATCAACCAGTCACTCATTCATAACTCCCCAGCCAGGATCTTCAAGCCTTCCTAGCAACTAGGGAAATCAGAGAACACAAAACACTGAAGATGCTAATTCTGATCTGGGGCAGGTATTTTAGTCTAGTGGTTGTGGCCTTCATCCCATGTGGGAGTGACTGGGTTTAAGTCCCAGGTCTGCCAACCCCTCCCACTCCACCATCCCAGCTTTCTGCTAATGCACACCCTATGAGGCAGCAGGTGATAGCTCAAATAGTTGAGGCCCTGACACCCACATGGGAGACTCAGGCTGAGGTCCAAGCTCCTGGATTCCTCTGGTCCCATCCCTTGATGGTGCAGGCATTTGGGGAGTGTACCAGCTGATGAGAAGTATGTCTACCTTTGTACCTTTCAAATAAATAAATATATACACCTGCTTTGATACTTGCTCAAGTAATTGGATTAGGAAACTGACAAAAGGGCTTTGGTTCCAGTAGATACAGCTGGAGCTTTCTAGCTCCTGATCCTAGATCAAACTATAAGTAACTGCACTTTGTTGCAGACTCTCTTCCCATTAAATAACAAGTGAACCAGAGCTTCTTCCTAGCCCAAGTCCCTTGCGAGCAGGTGCAATGATTTTCCATTTTTACATATGGGGAATGATTAGCACCCACTGTATCCTCAAATTCCTCCCATCCTGTGCTGACCAAAAGTTATGTAATAGAACGACTTTATGTCTGCCCTGTCCAACAGGGTAGACACTGATTACGTGTAGTTACTGAATACTTGAAATATGATTAGTCTGAGGAACTTTTTATTTAAATAGTCACATGTGGCTGTGGACCACAGGAATTGTAAATGAAATGCCTACAGGGGTCAGCCAGGTAAGTGGGAGGGGACACTTGGGCACACTTGGCATGTGCCACATAAAAAGGGGGAAGCAACTCTTCACCTCTAGCTGACTGTTGCTGTTAAGAATCTCTAGGAACTCTAGGCTGGTGCTGCCAGATTTCCCAAAGGAAACTGAAAATCTGGATTCTGATGTTCAATTCCTATCTATTTTTTTAAATTTACTTTGTTTAAAGAATACAACTTCATGCATTTAATCTATACAGATTTGGGAACATGATGCTTCTTCCCCCCATCTCGCTCTCACCCATATTCCCATCACTCTTCCTCCTCCCTCTTCATTTCTCTTTTCTAAAAATATTATTTATTTGAAAGGCAGAGTTACAGTGAGAGAGATTACATCCACTGGTTTGCTCCCCAAACAACCCCAACGGCCCATCTGGGCTGATCCAAAGCCAGGGGCCAGGAACTTTGTTGTCTCCCACGTGGACACATGGGCTCAAGTACTTAGGCCATCCTCTGCTGCCTTCCCAGGCACATAAGCGGAAAGCTGGAGGTGGAGCAGCCAGGACTCAAACTGGTACTCCAATATGAGATGCCATTTTTGCAAATGGTGGGTTAACCTGCTACACCACAATGCCAGTCCCTACTGTCCAATTTTTAAATGTTGGCAAGTAAAAAAAACAACAACAGAATCTAAGTCACTTTGTGGGCTGACCAGTATGTTTGCAGGTGGTAGCTGTCTTGCCAGTCTGCAACCTCCAATCTAGGCCAACTCTTTCAACTCAAAAAGGGGCTGGGCCTGGCCCAGCGTCGTGGCTCACTTGGTTAATCCTCCACCTGCGGCGCCAGTATCCCATATGGGTGCCAGGTTCTAGTCCCGGTTGCTCCTCTTCCAGTCCAGCTCTCGGCTGTGGCCCAGGAGGGCAGTGGAGGATGGCCCAAATGCTTGGGCCCCTGTACCCGCATGGGAGACCAGAAGAAAGCGCCTGGCTCCTGGCTTCGGATTGGCACAGCACTGGATATAGAAGCCATTTGGGGGGTGAACCAACGGAAGGAAGACCTTTCTCTTTGTCTCTCTCTCACTGTCTGTAACTCTACCTGTCAAATAAATTGAAAAAATCTTAAAAAAAAAAAAAAAAAAAGGGGGCTTACCCAAGGCCAATCTGCTGGTCACCAGCTAGTCCAAAATTGAAACTCAGGTATTCTCATTATTCTTCTGATATCCTTTCTGCTATATTATTGGCCATAATTAAGACTGTACTAGTAGCATGCCAGTGACAAGCCCCTTTGTCAGAGGTATTAAAATTCCATGGCTGCTACCTTATGAACAGTGTTCCTATCCAACCACAACCACTTGCTGGGATGTATAGGCAAGGCTCTGTACTAGGAGTCATTTAGACACAAAGAAGAAATAGTCCACGGAGGAGATGGACATGCAAATATATATACATATATATATTTATATAATCAGGTTTTCTATAATGGACAGAAATTACCAGTTCAAAGCCCAAAACCACTGACTGCTGGAAACAGGGAGGCAGGGAAGAGATTTGAGCCAAGCCTCCAAGGATGAGTAAATGCTGGCAAGTGGGTGGATGAGCCTCATGGATTCTCAGGGTGGGTCCCATTATTCCAGGTCATGGTCGGGGGTGGTGGTGGTGTTTCTTTCCTTTTATCTTTCATGTCTTGGCCAACTCAAGAGTCTCCTTTGCTGGCTTCCCCTTTCTGGGTAAAGGGTAAAGGTTAAGTGCCCCAAGGGGTTTAGGAACATTCTTTCATTATCCTCTCCCTAGATGATCTTGGAATAAACTCTCATCTTCACTGGGGCTGTGACCCCCCCCCCCCCCCACCGGCTTATCCAACTTGACATCTTCATTTGGATTGCTAATAAACTTACCCAACTTAGTTTGTTCAAATGACAACTCCGGATGTTACTTTCCAAACTATCTTCCTTTAGTAAGTCCTTGGTTCCTCCTTCTCCCAAACACTTCGCCTCCAACTCAGCACTAAGTCCTGCAAGCTCTACCTGCAAAATTCATTCATTCTGAACCTAATTTTCTCCATTTCCACTGTGGGGACACTCCCTTGGCCTACTGCAACAGCCCCTAACAAGTCAACTTCCACCCTTCTCCATCTAGTAATTTTTTTTGAAAATGTAAACGAGGTAAGGTAAAAAAAAAAAAAAATCCTGCAGTAACACAACAGCCAAGCGCTCGCCTTGGGCAAAAAGGCTCCAATCTATGAGCTCTGCCGCGGCTTTCACCACAGAGCGCTGTGCCCCTTTCTGCTTCAGCCACATGGCCTTAGCTGTTTCCTACCTTAAACTCCTTGCCATTGGCTCCCTTCTCCACCTAGAAAGCCTATATCCTGTATTTGTGGCCTCCTCCGAACAACAGCCCTCGGCCCATCGTCTGTCCCGTCACCTGGTCTTTGCGGTCTGATTTACATGCTAACTCCTGCACGCGAACTAGAAAGAACAATGCTTCATTCATGTTCTCAAATCCGGCTCTCACTGTCCTAGAAAGCCTCCACTTCCCCACGGGGTCTTCTCTGGGTCTCGCTTCCCCTCTCGTCTGACCGGAATGGCCCCTACTTTCTCCAACCTACATCTGCGAGTCCCAGAGATTCAAAATAAAGCCTCAGAGAGACTCCAAAGCAGGCCTCCCCTTCCTGGCACGCGGGCCACTGGTGTGGCAGGTTCCCGAGGCCAGCTGCGTAGACACCGAGCCGCCCCCAGCGAGGCTGGGGTCTCACAAGCGCGTCTCCTAGCAACGCCGCACCCCCACCCCATCCCTGCTCCTGGGGAGCCAACCCCCTCCCCCCAGTCTCCCGCGCCAGGAGTCCGCGTCTCCAGCCCTTGCACTCACTCTGCGTCAGTTCTGCCTTCCCCCACCCACAGAAGCGCGGCAGCCCCCGGCGGGCTGGGAGGAGGCGGTACCAAGAGCCTTGCTGAGCGGTGGCCGACGGAGCTAGGACAGGTCCGGTAGGCCAGGCCGGACGAGACCACCGGCGGACCTCTGTGGGAGCATTCGTCCCAGGTCAGGAGTAGTGTGGAGCCTCCCTAAACATCAACTCCTACCCCGTTCTCTGCCCCATCCAACAATATAGCCCACCTCATCCTCTCCCTGTTCTCCCTCTACCCCTTTCGTGATCCTTCCCACCTCATTCCAGCTCCCAAAATGGTCCAGCCCAGTTCCTCCCACCTCTCCCGCCCAGTCGCTACGTCCTTGCCCTTACTTGGCGACGGCTTCGTACGTCCTCGCCGACGTCATGACGCGATTTTCCACCCGCTCCCTCCCCGCCCCTCTCTCATTCTCCCTCCTGGAGCAGGCGGCCGGCGGGGTTACCGGAAGTGATGATGCAGGAGGCGATGGAGGGGGTGGGGCTTCGGGGCGGCAGCCGCCGGTGGGCCGCAGATGAAGAGGAGGCGGTGGCAGTGGTGGAAGAAGAGGCGGCGGCGGCGGGGGTAGGGATCCTGGAAACGCGAGCGGGGATGGTAGGTGGTTTGGACCCGCCGGGCCGCCGTCGTTTCCAGAAAGGGTTTGACTGGAGGAACCTCTGGAGCAGCTGTGAGTTTGGGGGGGGAGTTAAGGAAAAGGGGGGGGGGCACTGAGAGATGAAGGGGCGGGGGTTGGGTTCTTCGAGAAAGGGGGGGTTGGAAGGGGTGGAGTGGAAATCAGCGCCTTGTCTGGACTGGTCCCTCTAAAGGAAGAGGCTGTGAGGGGAGCCTGTGGCGTGTCAGCCGCAGGGCTCTGAAAACTTACCTACTGCCCCTGCTCCCCACCGCCAGCACCTCCCAGCCCGGGGCGTGGGGGTCTGAGGCCGGAGGTGCCCCGGAGGGGGTGCAGACTCTGGTCCTAAGTCCCGGCTAAGCGCTGTGAGGTAGGACCCCGAGGGGGAGGTGGTGGGTGAATCTCCAGCTCCCTCCGCCCTTATTTCCCTCCCCACCCCCATCCTTCTCTTTAATCGTTAACAGCCCTGGAATTAAGGGGCTCAGACCTGAAGGCCTTTCTGTGCACCTTTGCTATAAACGATAACCATCTGTGTCTGAGGTAATGGGGCTGGAGGCTTTGCCTGTATCCTGTATAGGAAGTGGGACGGGGTGACAAATGTATTGTTTTTTCCACTCTCCCCTCCTACTCCCCCCACCCCTCATTTCCACTTTAATATTCCGTGGCTGAGTGACAATCGTGTGTGGGTTTTTTTTTTTTTCTTTCGTTTTTTCCTTACGGCATGTAATACCTTGGTTACCTCTTTTGAATTTGGTGTTCAGCCTCTATCCCAGATCTTAACTGCAAGCTTTGTAATACTTGAGTTTCAGGCTGTGTCACATTGGGAGGACCTCTCCGTGTTACCCTGAGCATTTTCTTTCATGAGCAATCCTAAATGGCAGCATAGCCCAGGAATCAAGGTCCCTGGCTCTGAATAGTTTATGTGTGAGGAATTTACATGTTGTCAACTCTTTCCAAAATGATTTGATGTTAGGCTAATTCTGGATTTCTGTGTTTCTCTACACCCACACTTCATGATGCACTTCAGAGAACAGAAAACCCCATATTACTTTTTTGTTCCTACAATTGGACAATAGCTCTTTTATCGTTTTCTCCATATGTGTGTCTGGCACTCAAATCTTAAGTGACACATTCTACTTCTGCTCATTTTCATCCTATTTATTGAGCTTTCTTTGTGTATAGATGGTCTCAAATGAGGAGAGAATGTGATGTGTTTTAAAGAAGAATAACAGCTATGAAAAAATTGGGAAACACAAAGAGTGATTGGAAAGGAGGTCTCTTTGTTGATACTCTGTTGGTTTAAAAAAAATATCACCAGTAGCGCTCCTCTAACACATCCTGTGTATAGATTTCAGAGTAAAGTGTAATGATTCTCATTTTAGTGTTAATGTATTCTTTGAAAATACTCTCATGTGAAACTGTTTTCTAAAAAACTTTAAGAAACAGTGCCTAAATTTTAGGGGTCCTTTGTTTAGAAAGTGTCCATAAGTCTTCTTGACTGAGTTTGACATGCATATTCTAGGAAAATTATCATACGGGGTGTTGTTCTGATGCTAGAAAGAAAGTCCTGTCCTATTATCCATAGTTTTCAGGCCTGATAAAACAGTATTTAATGCCTTAATTGTACAAGTAGCTGTGTTTAGCTGTTTCACAGAAGTACAGTAAAAGAATGACTGCTATTCTCATCTTAATTGATTTGGAACCTAATTTGCCATTTAATAAAAAAAGTCCAAAATTCATTCATTTATTGACTGGTGACTAAGTACTTGCCAGGTTTTTAAGCATTTGGTGTACAAAGGTGTACACTGGCAAATAGTCTATGCTCTCACAGAGCTTAAATCAGAGTGGGGGTTGGGACAGATATAAAAATAAGCAAATATGATTTTGATTAAGTGTTGAAAATAAGATTGATACAGAAAGTGTCTGACTGGGATGCAATCAAGGAAGACCTCTCAAAGGAAGTGACACTAAAACTGGGCTTCAAGTAAAAAGGATAAACCACCATGCAAAGATAAGGGGAGGAATCTTCCAGGTTCAGGGAACAGCTAGTTTTGAAACTGGCAGGAGTGAGCTTGGCAAGTTCCAGGGACTGGGAAGAAAGTGCTGGCCAGGCCATGATAGCCAGAGCTTAGTGAACAAAGAGGGTAGAGTGAAGAGACCAGACAGAAAGGTGGAGGTGGGGCTCAGAATTAGAGGCAGACTAAGAGAAGAAAATAGAAAGTGATGCCCCTTTTTAAAATTTTATTGCCTTTTGTAAGATCTTATCACCTATTTTTGCATATGCTCTTGGACTACTGTGATTTTTAAAAGTCCCTGTTGAGAGTGGGAAAGGAGGAAGTAACGGGTCAGCCCGGTGTTTTCTGACAGATCTCAAGCCATGTGTTTGAAAATTCACAGGAATGTTCAACTGAAGGCTTCTTTTTCTTTCAAGTATTTTGTCTCATATACTGCTATATAAAATGGCATAGTAAGTACCCCAGATGTGTTCTAGCATCTGAATCCTCCCTTGCTTCCAGCTCTGCATGAATTTAAAGTTGAAATTTGGGTAAAAGTACTAGTAATATGCTCTTGTTGATATACAAATATGGCCATCAAGATCGAAGTTTCAAGTTGTTTTTTGGTAGAGAGGCAGAGTTTATGTTGCAATAGTTCCACTCTTGTCTGGTTCTCTCGATGACTAATAATACTCAGCTGAGGTGTTGGTTGGTGCTAAAAGTTCATTCAGTGGCTTTCATTAGATAATGACCATTGTGGGGCTCAATTCCACTATGTTGGCATCTTTGGGTTGGCATATAACCAAGGGGATTAACCTACTTTTGCCTCCGGTAGTCTGCTGCTTTTCAACCTCACCTTAACCAGATTGTCCACTTGAGAGTCTCAAGACTGCTTGATTTGGCCCTCTTGAGCCATATTGCAATGGGCTGAAACAGAAAGAATATGCTTTTGCCTTCTTTTGAACTCCACAACAGTGACTAGTGTGTTCTTTGAGTGAATTGGTCCTTTGAGCCAGGCAGTTGAGAGACTTAAATGTTGATTAGGCTGTTTTAGTAAACTCAATTTAGAAATGCCAAATAAAATGTTTCATGTTTGGAAAGACAAATTAGAAATGGAGGATTTGTTGCCTGTTTTAGGTTTTAGTACTCTTAATAGTACCTGTAGATGAATTGTCAAAACCAACTTGGACAGAGATTTCTGGGCAGTCTTAGGGTAATGATGGGGATGGGGGAAAGCCTGGTACTGAATTACTTCATTTCAGCCTAAATGCAAACAGAAAAGTCTCAGTTCGTGAGCAGATGACGAAAGTGAACAGCTAGAACCAGGCAAACAATTGACTCCACCCTCCACACTAAAGAGTATTTCAGAAGAATGGAGAATAGATAGTGATGTTTGTGACCCAGGTTCAAGATTTTGGGCGACTGTATATGCTAGTGCTGGGCATGAAGTTCTCTACCCAGTGAGTTTTTAATCTGTCCACTATTCATCTTCATTTCAATGGTTTATTATAACTCCAGTATGAAAATATCCTGTAGGCTGAAATTTCATCAGCCTGTTTGGAGACTGGTGACTGTTTTCTAATTTTTGAAAGGGGGTGAAAGGGTAGGAGGGGACTTGAACACAGGGAGAAACCATTGACTCCCACATTGGCCATTAATCCATTAATTGTGTTTGGGGAAAGAATCCGCAAATTTAAGTAAATGTGGATTATTTGAGCTGGCTTTTTTTTTTTTTTTTTTTTTTTTTTTTTGACAGGCAGAGTGGACAGTGAGAGAGAGAGACAGAGAGAAAGGTCTTCCTTTGCCGTTGGTTCACCCTCCAATGGCCGCCACGGCCGGCACACCGCGCTGATCAGATGGAAGGAGCCAGGTACTTATCCTGGTCTCCCATGGGGTGCAGGGCCCAAGGACTTGGGCCATCCTCCACTGCACTCCCTGGCCACAGCAGAGAGCTGGCCTGGAAGAGGGGCAACCAGGACAGAATCCGGCGCCCTGACCGGGACTAGAACCCGGTGTGCTGGCGCCACAAGGCGGAGGATTAGCCTAGTGAGCCGCGGCGCCGGCATGAGCTGGCCTTTTAATATAGAGTACCAGTGGACTTGCTTTTTCATTTTGACTTGTTTTTAAGATTTATTTGAAAGCAGAGCATGCTTCCATCCACTGGTTCACTCTCCAAATGACTTAAACAACCAGGTCTGGGTCAGGCTATAGCCAGGAGCCAGAAACTCCCATGTGTATGTCAGGGGTCCAGGGATTTGGACTTTTTATCACTGCTTTCCCAGGCTGATTAGCAGAGAGCTGGGTTGGAAGTGAATCAGGTGGGACTCTATAACAGGCATTCTGGTATGGGATGCTGATTCACAAGCTGTGGCTTATCCTGCTGCACCACAACACTGACCCCACACTGGGGGCTTTTGAAGAAACTTCTGGAAAGTAGCCTACCTGGAGAGCTGGTTGAAGTCACTTACTTTTGGAGTGTGGTTTTGCTTTGAGTTAGATGATTTAATCTGATTTTGTTACTGTTTTGATATATATGCTGAAGTAAGGCGAGTTCATCATATATCGGCTGCCAATTGTTTTGAGGTGAAGAAGGGGTAACTCAGATTGAAACAATGGTAATTATGAGGTAACTTCTGTTTAATTTACAATTACTTCTTTGTGTCTGTTTGCAGATGTTGGTACCAGTAAACCAGGATCAGTTCTTCCTAATTGTTGGTACAGTGTTCTGAAACCTCTTTGCACAAGGGTCCAAGGTTATTAGGTTAATGTCTTAAGCTCAATTCTAGTTGCACTGCTTCTTTTGTCTATTTTTCTTGGTGATAGTGGCCCTATTTCTATTTGAGCAGAGAAGGAGATAACCACAAGATTTGATCATTTAATTAGTGAATAATTACAAACTAGAATTTAACATATGAACATTACTGAAATAATGAGAGAAAGGATTCAAAGTGGCTCTTTGAGGTTGTGATATGCTGAACAATGGAGGAAACAAATGCCAAATTGTCATTTTAAATGTGTAAATGACGTAAATATTTTACATCAGAATAGGGAAGCTTAGTAAAT